TGTACAAAGTTGCCCAGATTATTTTAAAAGGGGTGTCCTTATCACTTTAAACATTTTTCTTGGGGATCCCTGAGTGGCTCAGCGGTTTGGCGCCGCCTTCAGCCCAGGGAGTGATCCTGGAGACCCGGGATCGAATTCTGCATCGGGCTCCCTGCAGGGAGCCTGCTTCTCCCTCTGCCTGTGTCTCTGCCTCTCTCTCTCTCTCTCTCTCTCTCTGTCTCTCATGAATAAAGAAATAAGAATCTTAAAAAAGTAAAATTAAAATTTTTCTCTTTGTGTACCACCTTGCACTCAGGCTTTGGTATGGCGGTGGTAGTGCTGACCTTCTAGGACGCGTTGAGAAGCTTTTTTTTTAATCATCTGCAACTGTTTAAATAGCAGAGGACCAATTGTTTGCTTAAAGGGTTGATGGAATGAGCTGCGCCTACCGCCTTCTGGCAAAGCGGATCTTTGATTCTATTTCATCTTTCTTTTCGAGGAGTCTATTTGGTTTTCTCTCCTTGAGTGAAACCTGTTTCATTCTTTTTGGGAAAACTGTCCATCACTTTTTAATTTTATGACAATGTCATAAAACCATACGGAGCATTTTTGTGGATTTTAACATTTTCCTCCATATATATATCATATACATAAGGTATTATTTTTATGTAGAGAGAGCGCAAGTGAACAGCGAGAAGTGCGGAAGGAGAGGGAGAGCATCTCGAGCAGACTCTCAGAAGCACGGGGCCCAATGCAGGGGTCGATCCCATGACCCCGAGATCGGGACCCCGGCCGAAACCAAGAGTTGGACACCCAAGTGACTAAGCCATCCAGGCGCCCCTCCTCCATTTATTTAAGTCTGTTGTTAGGTATTCTTATCGATAAGCTTTGCGCAGTGGCAGATCGTAGCCAATGAGGTTTATTCAAGGTGCGATTATTGCTAAAAAGGTATTATCGTTCGTAATGTTGTCTATTTGTGTTTTCCTTTTTTTATATCTATACCGTGGGTCTTTTTTTTTAAATTATTTATCCATGAGAGACACACAGAGAGAGGAAGCAGAGGCGGAGGGAGAAGCAGGCTTCATGCAAGGAGCCCGATGCGGGACTCGATCCCACCACCCTGGGATCACGCCCTGAGCCACAGGCAGACGCTCAACCGCTGACCCGCCCGGGCAGCCCTAAGGTGACTAATCCTGATGAATGTTCCATGCGAACTTGAAAAGACTGTGTGCTCTGCTGTTGCTGTACAAAGGAGCTTCTGCATGTCATTTAGAGTTGATTGACGTTGCTGTTGGATTTAACTATGTCCTCACTACTTTTCTGCCTCCTGGATCTGCCCATTTCTGATAGGTGGGTGATGAAATCCCCAAGTACCCTAGTCCATTTCAGCTGGTATAACAAACACACCGGAGACGGGGTAGCTTACAAACAACAAGCATTTATTTCCCACAGTTCTAGAGGCTGGCAAGTTTACAATCCAGCTGCTGAAAACGTGGGGTCTGGTGAACTCCCACCTCCTGGTTCATAGCTGGCTGTCTTTTTGCTGTGTCTCCCCATGGTGAAAGAGGACAAAGGAGCTCTCTGGGGCCTCCTTTGTAAGGGCACTAATGCCTTTCTTGGGGGGGCTCTCCCCTCGTGATTTAATCACCTCCCCAAAGCCCCACTTCCAAGTATTATCACGTTGGGGATTATATTTCACCATACAAGGTTTTTTTTTTAATTTTTATTTATTCATGATAGTCACAGAGAGAGAAAGAGAGAGAGGCAGAGACGCAGGCAGAGGGAGAAGCAGGCTCCATGCACCGGGAGCCCGACATGGGACTCGATCCCGGGTCTCCAGGATCGCGCCCTGGGCCAAAGGCAGGCGCCAAACCGCTGCGCCACCCAGGGATCCCCCCACCATACAAGTTTTAGGGGGACACACATACCCAGCCTATAGCACCACCTGTAATAGCGAAGCCATCTGTTTCTCCTTGCAATTCTATCAGCTCTGGCCGCATGTATTTTGACACTCTGTGGGTAGGTACGTACGCATTAAACGTCATGACGGCTTTTTTTGTGAAATGACCCCTTTATCATTATGTGATACTTCTCTTTATTCCTTATAATTTCCCTGATACGAAATTAATGTAGCCACTCCAGCAACCTTTCGCTGAGCGTTAGCCTGCTATAACTTTCTCCACCCCGTTAGCTTTTGTCTACACGTCTTTATATTTAGAATTAGTTTCTTGTCGACAACACAGTTGGATTTCAGGTTTTTAGCCATTCTGACGATCTCTGTCTTTTCACTGGTGTAGTTAGACTATTGATGTTTGAAGGGACTATTCGTGTAGTTGCAATAATATTTACCATGTTTGTTACTGCTTTCTACTGGTTACCTTTATTCTCTGTTCATAATTTTGTCTTCCAGTCCTTTTCTCTCTTTTGTGGTTTTATCTTTTTACATGATTCTACTTTCCTTTCTTAGCATAGTAATAATGTTGTTATTAATCTTTAGTTTTAATGGTTTCCCCAGAGTTTTCCATATACACTTGCAACTATTCCAAGTCCGCTTTCTTTCTTTTTTTTTTTTAAGATTTTGTTTATTCATCAGAGACCCAGAGGCAGACACACAGGCAGAGGGAGAAGCAGGCTCCCTGCAGGGAGCCTGATGCGGGACTCGCTTCCAGGACTCCGGGGTCATGATCTGAGCCAAAGGCAGGTCGATGCTCAAGCACTGAGACACCCAGGCCTCCCTGCAAGTCCGGTTTCAAAGAACACAGTATCCCTTCGCTGGTAGTGTAAGTACTTTAGAAGAAAGTAATTCTAATTCCTGCCTCCCATCTCTTGCCTCCGTGGTGTTATTCATGTCACATATACATAAGCTAGAATCGTCAAATGTACTACTGCTGGTAAGATTCTGAACACACATCTGTTAGAGTAATTAAAAAATAAGGAAAAGTTTTTCGGGGACAGCTGGGTGGTTCAGCGGCTGAGCGTCTGCCTTTGGCTAGCGTGGTGATCCCGTGGTCCTAGGATCGAGTCCCGCATCGGGCCCCCCGAGGGGAGCCTGCTTTCCCTCTGCCTGTGTCTCTGCCTCTCTCTGTGTGTCTCTCGTGAATAAATAAAATCTTAAAAAAAAAGAACTTTAAAATATCTTTTTAAAAAAGGAAAAGTTTTTTATTGTCCCTTCACCTATCCTTCTCTCAATGCTCTTCCTTTCTGTATGTTGATCTGAGTTTCTGACCATTTTCCTTCTCTCTGAAGAACCTTTAACATTTCTTGCAAGGGTACGTTTACTGGTTCACTCAACTTTTCTTTGTCCGAGAAAGTATTTCCTTTCGGTTTTGAAGGACACTTTTGTAGGATGTAGAATTCTAGATTGGTGGGGGCGGGGGTTGCCCCTGAATACTTTAAATATTTCAGTCTACTTTCTCTTTATTTCTCTGGTTTTGAGGAGAAGTTGGATGTAATTCTTATTTTTTACTCCTCTATAGAGAAGTTGTATTGTTCTCTGGCTTCTTTATTGACGTTTTCTTTATCTTTTTCTGCAGTTCAAATATGTTATGCCTAGATACAATGTTTTGGGGGATTATCCTACTTGATATTTTCTGAGCTTCCTGAATCTGTGGTTTGGTATCTCACATGAATTTTGGAAAATTATCAGTTTTTATTGCTTCAGATATTTCTTTGGTTCCTTCTCTCTTGTCTCCTCTGGCACTCCCATTAGAAAGATGTTACACTTTTTGTGGCTGTCCCACAGTCCGTGGATATCGTGTTCTATGTTTTATACGTTCTTTTCTCTTTCCTTGTTCAGTTTTGAAGGTTTTCACTGCATATATTTCAACTCAAGGGATTCGGGCAGCCAGGGTGGCTCAGCGGTTTAGCGCCGCCATCGGTCCAGGGCGTGATCCTGGGGTCCCGGGGTCCAGTCCCAAGTCGGGCTCCCTGCGTGGAGCCTGCTCCTCCCTCTGCCTGTGTCTCTGCCTCTCTCTCTCTCTCTGTGTGTGTCTCTCATGAGTAACATGAGTAAATAATAAATCTTTTAAAAATAAATAAACTAAGGAGATTCTTTCCTCAGCAATGTCCAGCCTACTATTGAGCCCATCAAATACATTCTTCATTTCTATTACAGTGGTTTCTATCTCTAGCATTTTCTTTTACTCTTGCTTAGATTTTCCATCTCTTTGCTCACTTTACCCATTTGTTCCTGCACGTTGTACACTTCCGCTAGAACCCTGAGCATATTAATCATGGTTATTTTGTTAGTCTGACAATCCCACCATTTCTCTTCTATCTGAATCTGATTCTGATACTTGCTGTGCCTCTTCAAACTGTTTTCTGCCCTTTAGCACACCTTCTAAGTTTTTCTTGGTAGTTGGACGTGCTTTACTGGGTAAACGGAACTGTGGTAAATAGGCCTTTAGCGATGCGAGCGGGGTCGGGGAAGCATTCTGTAATAATATGATGAGGCCCGTCTCTGGTGAGCCTGTGACCTGGGGCTGCAGACTTCATGCCTGCATCTCAGTCCTCCCTCTTTTAGGTGGGTCAGGATTGGCTGCAGAGGGCTGGAGTTGTGTATTTCCCTTCCCCAGGCAGTTAGGCTCTGATAAAACCCCAGCAGGTCAGGCGGTGGCCAGATAGTTTCTCTGGCGAGCAGACTTTAGGATGAGAATGGTCTGGTATATGTCACGATGGGTACCTTTTCCATTCCCCTGCTAGAAGCACGAGAGGCTGTTTCTTCAGTATGCACTGTAAGGACTTGGTAGAGTTCCTTAAGGTGAAGCTCACAGTAATGAGGGGCCGCCCCATGCCTGGGTCGCCCTCAGACCTGTCCCCACTGAGCCTCCAGCAGTTGGTCAACTACAATTCAAGGTTTCCCACCCTGTCACTGGTTCTCCTAGAGGTGTCTGCTTGTGGGTCAGTTGTGATGTGCGCTCTCTCTCTCTCTCTCTCTCTCTCTCTCTCTCTCTCTCTTTAAAAGATTGTACTTCTTGGGGGAGAGAGAGAGAGTAAAAGAGAGCATGAGTGGTGTGGCGGGGTGGAGGAAGAGGCAGGTTCCCCACCAAGCAGGGAGCCCGATGCAGGGCTTGATCCCAGGACACTGGGATCGAGACCCAAGCGGAAGGCAGAGACTTCACCAACTGAGCCACCCAGGCACTCCAGTTGTGATTCTCTTTATCTATGTGTCTCTTCCATTTGGGGGGCAGCGATTTGCCCCATAACCCCGGTTCTCTGACACTTCTAGCAAGGGTTTTTTATTTTGTTTGTTCGGCTTTTGGCTGATTGTTAGGGCAGAGTGACAACTTCCAATCTCTTATATGCTGAACTAGAACCTGGAAGTCCATTTTCTTTCTTTCTCTTTTTTACATCTGGTTTCTCTTAGCTGCTTATGCAACAAATATCCACCCTAGATTTTTTCCAATACGAATAACCTCATCATCTATTCATTTCTCCCAGTTTCTTTGTAGCTTCTTCCATGGAAAGAGAAAGATGTTCTCCTTGACTAGAGTAGAATGCTTATAATAAAGGAAGGGAATGCCCGAAAGACTCTTGAGATGATTAGGATCCTTGGGCTGTTTTGTTTTCCATTTAGGGGAGAGTGTCTGTGTCTTCCTCAGCCACATCTTGTCATTTTCAGGGCATTTGGAGAAAATGACTGAAACATCTGTGTGAAGCTTCTGGTGGTCCTCTCGGCATCACTGGGCTCTTAGCTCCTCTGCCCATGATAATTATTTTTCCTCAGGATTTTGGAAAACATCCTGTATCCATCCAGGTCTAAATCATCCTGGAATATTCTCTGTGTTAGTGTAAACATACAACACAACAGCATGTTCTCACTACATTTAGCATTGGTAGGCATTTTGAGGGTCGACTAGCTATTCTCTGGTCATTAGGGTCCTTTTTCAGCAGGTTCCTGGTTACTTTTTCATGTTGTTCCAGATAAACGTTAGAATTATTTACATTTCAAAAGAATATCCCGGGCAGCCCGAGTGGCTCCATGGCTTAGCTCCACCTTCGGCCCAGGGTGTGATCCTGGAGACCTGGGATGGAGTCCCATGTCGGGCTCCCTGCATGGAGCCTGCTTCTCCCTCTGCCTGTGTCTCTCCCTCTGTCTCTCTCTCTCTCTCGCGCGCGCGCTCATAAATAAATAAATAAATAAATAAATAAATAAATAAATAAATAATTTTAAACACAATATCCCAGGGGCACCTCAGTGGCTCAATTAATCATCTGTCTTAGGCCTCAGGTCATGATCTCAGGGTCCCAGATTGAGCCCCAAATCAGGCTCCCTGCTCAGCAGGGAGTAGGCTTCTCCTTCTCAGTCTGCTCCTTCCCTCTGATTGTGTTCTCTCTATAAATATCTCTCAAGGGGATCCGTGGGTGGCGCAGCGGTTTAGCACCTGCCTTTGGCCCAGGGCGCAATCCTGGAGACCTGGGATCGAATCCCACGTCGGGCTCTCGGTGCATGGAGCCTGCTTCTCCCTCTGCCTATGTCTCTGTCTGTCTGTCTCTGTCTCTCTCTCTCTCTCTCTCATAAATAAATAAATAATTAATTAATAAATAATTAATTAATTAAAAAAATAAATATCTCTCAAATAAATAAAGTCTTCTGTTAAGAAATAAAAAGAATATCCTCGATAAAGTTAGGACCAATCAATTTCATGATACTAATAGTCTGCATGTCAAAATATCACTCCAGAAGAAAAAAAAAAGAGAGAGAGAGAGAGAGAGAGAGAGAAATAACAAATAGGAAAAACACTTTTGCAATGTATGTCACTTCCAAAGAGCTAACATCCCTAACATATAAAAAAAAAATCTGCTAAATATTGATAGGAAATAAAAAAAAATGGGCAAAGGGATATTAGCAGATGGTTCACAGAAAAGGAAATGCAAATGGTCCTTAAACATATAAAACAGTGGGCAGCCTGGGTGGCTCAGCAGTTTAGCGCCGCCTTCAGCCCGGGGTGTGATCCTGGAGACCCGGGGTTGAGTCCCATGTCGGGCTCCCTGCATGGAGCCTGCTTCTCCCTCTGCCTGTGTCTCTGCCTGTGTGTGTGTCTCATGAATAAATAAATAAAATCTATTAAAAAACATAAAAAAGTGTTCAGGCTGAATCATAACAGAAATATAAAGCTGGGATCCCTGAGTGGCTCAGCCGTTTAGGGTCTGCCTTCGGCCTGGGGATGTGTACCTGGGGTCCCGGGATCGAGTCTCAAGTCGGGCTCCCTGCATGGAGCCTGCTTCTCCCTCTGCCTGTGTCTCTGCCTCTCTTGCTGTCTCTCTCTGTCTCTCATGAGTAAATAAATAAAATCTTTTAAAAAAAGAAATATAAATCTAAAATACATTGAGATACCAGTTCCCACCTACTGGATTGCCAAAATTCAAGTCTTGACAGTTTACTGCGGTGGCAAGACTGTGGAGATAGAGGCACTTTCACACATTGTGGGCATGCAAAGGCACTACATCTGTGGAGGAGTGTGTAGCAGTGTTTGTTGAATCTAACGTAGGATATTATCCCTTTGGCTAACAGGAATAGTCTTCTTTACGAGTATCGTTGTCTGTTGCTGCATAGCAAATTACTCCAAACGTTAGTAGCTTAAAGGAACAGACATTTGTTGTTTCTGAGAGTCAGGGTTCCAGGAGTGGCGTAGCCGGGGTAGTTAGCACAGGGTCTTTCGTGAGGTCACAGTGAAGTTGTCGGTCAGTGCTACAGTCACCTGAGGGCTGGGCTGGTCTAGCAAATCTGCTTCCGAAGTGGCTCACAGAAGCCACTCACATGGTTGTTGGCTGGCGGCTTCAGTTTCCTACCACCTGGATCTCCTCTCCTGAGGAGCTTCCCTGGTGAGAGTTAGCTAGGAGAAAGCAAGTGAAGCTGGAGAGCCTTTTATGGTCTACCTGCCAAATTTCCACGCGGTCACTTCTGTACTGTGGGTCTTTTCAAAGAACCAGCACTTGCTTCCACTGGCCCATTCTACATGGGTTCAGAACGCTTACTGCTTTTATTGTTGTTAGTTTTTCCCCCTTCTTTCTTTTGCATTTGTGTTGACGCTGTTGTTTTCCTACTTTCTTGAGTTAAATGCTTGGTTCATATATTTTCAATATTTCCTATGAATGAAATATTGAAGCTTGTCATTTGGCTAATGACTATTATTTTGACCAGCTCTTTGACCAGCATTTTTTATCTAGTGGCAGAGCTAAAGCAGATGTTGATGCAGGACCGCTTGGCTATGAAGAATTCATGGCGGGTGTGGAGGCTGGTGTTTGGAAGAACTGATGACCAGCATGATGAGCAGATTCCTCACCATGGTGACCAGGTACGTTGATAAGAACAGCCTGAGGAGGAAGGCCTGATGCTCTGGCACTTCTGACAGTCCCATGAAGAGGAATTCGGAGATGATGGTGGGGTTGCCTCTCGCCATGGCTTCTGGTTTCTGTAAATATATGTCGGAGGTACATCTGTCAATAAGAACAGAGGCAATCTGGGAAGGCATGCACAGCAACCTTCATCATTAGCTGAAAGGAAAGTTTGTGACGCTTTTGGAGAGATTCCCAACCTGGGGTAGTGAGGGCAAGAGAGAGTGAGGGCTGTACAGTCAGCACGGGTTTGTGGGGGCTGGTGAAACTCTCTTTGTAATTTCTCGCATTGCCAGGAGCAAAGAACCATGCACTGAAGAAGACAGAGAGAACAAAAGGAGCCCTGGGTGGCTCAGTGGGTTAAGTCTCTGATTCTTGGTTTTGATTCAGGTCATGATCTCAGGGTCCTGAGATCGAGCCCCAAGTGGGGCTCCACGCTCAGCTCAGAGTCTGTTGGATATTCTCTCTCTCCCTCTGCCCCTCTGGCTTATGATGTCCCTCTTTCTAAAATAAATAGGTCTTTTTTAAAGGCTATTTATTTATTTGACAGCACACACTGGAGGGGGAGTGGGAGAGGGCGAAGCAGGCTCCCAGCAGAGCAGGGAGCCCGATACAGGGCTCAATCCCAGAACCCCAGGATCATGACCTGAGCTGAAGGCAGACACCACCAATGAGCCACTCAGGTGCACCTCAAATAAATAATTTTTTTTTAAAGTAAGGGCAAGGATATAAGGAGAGGCAGCAAGAGCAGTGGAATTGACACTAATTGGATCCCACTTTGCTTTTTCTTCATCTCTGTAGGGTTCTGTGGGGTGACCACTAAAGATAAAACGGTATATGTGTGTGTGCCCTTGTGTGCACGCATATACCTAGACATTTATATTCATATGAATGTATTCATAGAAAGGTGCCTAGAAGAATATTCACCAAAATGTTAATTAACCAACAGTAGTTATCTCTAGGATGTTGAGATATTTAACTTGTGTGTGTGTGTGTGTTTTTTTTGACAAAAAACAGCTCAGTTTTCTAAACTGTGTTCCCTGGATGTTAACAAGTGATTCAAGAAGTTTCTGTGATATTTGCAGCCCAAGTGTCATTGGGAGCTCATACTTGAAGCCTTGTCAGACAAAAGGGCATATCTGGGAAGTTATGTCCTCATGTCTATGTCTCTCTCAAGTTCATGCCATGGGATCCACAAAGTTATGTGTCCATGTGGTGCGACTCCACCACACAGGCAAATCTATGCCCCTAAATCGGATCCATGTGAAATGGGAAAACATAATAAAATGTGATTTTAAGATATTGGCTCGTGAAAACACCTGGGTGACTCACCAGTTGAGTGTCTCCCCTCGGCTCAAGGCATGATCCCGGGGTCCTGGGATCGAGTCCCGCCTTGGGTTTCCTGCATGGAGCCTGCTTCTCCCTTTGCCTGTGTCTCTCCCTCTCTGTCTCTCATGAATAAATAAAATCCCTTAAAAAAAGAAAAAATAAGATATTGACTCACGAAAGACATTGTAAAAGATTTCAAGGATCTCCCATATAAATAAACCCCAGGTACAGATGCTTTTACAAATCATATCAATTCTTCAGACTGAATTTTTCAGATCAATTCTTCTGATTCTGCTAACATCTCGTCCCAATATTACAAGGTCAGAAGGGCGGAACAACATCTGGCAAGTTCATTTTCAAATCCCAGCATCCTCAAGACAGCATACTGAATCCCAAACTCAGAAACAACAGTACATATGCAAAATAATGAGGCAAAAATCCTGAATAATGTGCAAATTCTGTCTGAACATATGGTGAAAGGATCATCCTGCATGTGGAAACATAAAGATGGTCACTGCGATGACAGAAACCTGAGTCCGCGTCCCGACGCTGCTGAGCCTTGGTGGGGCAGCCTGGCGCCATCTGCACGGCAGAGGTGCCTGCTTGCCTGAGCACACGCCCTGCACCCTGTGTGCCAGGACTACCAGTGCTGCCCACTCTCCTGCCAGGCCTGCACCCCTCAGCCCCCAGGGGCTTGGCTCTGTCCGAGGGTGCAGGCTTCTGACCCACCATTCCTTGGGTGGCTCACTGTTCACCTCAGGGTGGGGCCCCAGGGCCTCCCCAGGGCTGCTCTCCGATGCCAGGTGCTCCCTACAGAGCTGGGCCCTGGAGGCCCCTGCAGCAGCCCCGCCCGCGGCCCCTCCGCACAGCCCCCTGGCGTCGAGACCCCGGAGTCCCTGCAGGGGACCACTGTCACCCGGGGACCCCGCCTCCCCCACACTCTGATGCTCGAGCCTGGCTTCTCTTCAGGGAGCCCCTCCCGCGCCTCCAGGGGCCTCCTGGTTCTGTCCGAGCACGTCTGGTCACGCGCCCCGCGTGCTGCGGCCCCTACAGCAAGAGACTCGGGAGACGGGGGATCTGGATTCCGCGCTCTTGCTCAGGGGGTGGAAGTGGCGCAGACCAGAGCCACCCAGTGACGCGGGGGGGTGGGGAGGTGGGGGCCAGAGGACCCGGGCGTCCCGGGCAGACCACCTGACCACGTGCCGGCTGAAGACAGACTCGGGTTAGGGTGCGCTGCTGAGACCCCCGTTTGTACACGTGCGCACACAGTATCCGTATTATTTCTGGGTAGGAGCCGCGCCTGCTAAAGTGCCTGTATAGACAACACACACGTTTTCCTTTGGAAGGAGGGCCCCCGCCCAGCGTGGAGACCCGACCCGGGGCCTGAACTCGTGACCCTGGGATCAAGGCTGGAGCAGAGAGCAAGCGCTGGATGCTCCCCTGACCGAGTCCCCCAGGCGCCCTGCCAGGAAACCATCTCTAGAGGTGCCCGTGGGGGGGGGGGATCAGGGCATATCGTCACTTCCGATGGCCTCGGGTAACCTAGAGCCTGGGAACCACTACTCCAGCCTCCACACGGTTGTCTCCGGACCCAGAAGGAACCTTCTGGCCCCCTCTCCAGCCTTGCTGGCGAGGCCCCTTAGCGCCTGGAGGCAGCGGGTGCGGATGTCAAGAAAACGCAGCTCGGACAAGGCTTCGGAGTCACTACCTGCAACGGCAGCTGGAGCTCCAGCGTCACCGCGTGTCTGACCTTAGTGCAAGAGCACCAACGCGCGGGGGCCCCACCTGTCATGAGAAAATCTGAGACCGTCGGGAAGACTGGGAGGACCCCAGAGCCCCCTGCAGTGCCCCCCCCACTGAGCCCCGAGCTTTCCTCCAGCATTCCTTTTTTTTTTTTAAAGATTTTATTTTTTTATTCATAGACACAGAGAGAGAGGGGCAGAGACAGAGACAGAGGGAGAAGCAGGCTCCACGCAGGGAGCCCGATGTGGGACTCGATCCTGGGTCTCCAGGATCACACCCCAGGCTGCAGGCGGCGCCAAACCGCTGCGCCACCGGGGCTGCCCTCCTCCAGCATTCCTGAAGAAACCAGTCTCCTCTGCTTGGGAGAGTTTCTCTGTCTCTCCTCTGTCCTCCTTCCTCTCCTCCTCCCTCCCTCCCTGCTCTTCCTCTCACTGGCCTCCTCCTCTCTCTCGGCTCTGTCCCTCCTTCCCCATCTCAACCCCGACTTTCCCTTCCACGTCCCTCAGACCCCTGCTCCAGACAGGACAGCCCACACCCCACAGCCTAAAGCAGCTGGAAGCACAAAGGTGCGAGATCAGAACCAAGTACGGGTTTAGAGGTTAGAGGACATTTCACCTCAGTGGGGAACCATGGATCACTCAATAAATGATGTTGAGACACCGGGCTAATCTCTGGAGTTGGATCCATGTCACCCTCACACCAAAAGAAAGTTCCAGCAGATTAAAATCTCAAAGTACCAGAGGGCGTTGCGAGGGAACAGGTCTATAGTGTCACGGGGGGTGGGGCTTCTCACAGGGCACAGAATCCAGAGATCACAGCGAAAGAAGGTGACCGCTTAAAGGCATCTGATTCTTTTAACCTATGCTTCCGTGCCTACGGACGATGAGCAAAGTGAAAGTGAAGCAACGAGGAGGAAAAGTATTTCCCAGTCATGACAGAGATTGGCTGTTCTGAGCACAAAAAGAACGCTTGCCGATCAGCGTGAGAAATGTGACCGTGCCAGATAGAAGACGGGCGGAGGATATGGAGTGTCCTCCGAAGAGATGCCACGGACCAAATGTCACGCACGTCACTGTCTAATCACAGGAGAGTCAAAGGCAAGTGGAGCGACACGGAGATACGGTTTTGCTCCTTCATGTGTTCGGTCTTACAAAGACGAACAAGGTCGAGCACATTCCACTTGAGGTGGGATTTAGGGGAATGGGCACTTTTATCCACGTCGGGAACGCTCTGGGGGGTGCAGTTTGGGCATAGGTGTCAGACACGGTATCCAGCACTGGGCTCCTTGCATGGAGCCTGCTTCTCTCATTCTGTGTCTCATAAATAAACAGAATCTTTATTTTTTAAATTTTTTATTTATTTATGATAGGCACAGAGAGGCAGAGAGGCAGAGACAGGCAGAGGGAGAAGCAGGCTCCATGCACCGGGAGCCCGACGTGGGATTCGATCCCAGGTCTCCAGGATCGCGCCCTGGGCCAAAGGCAGGCGCCAAACCGCTGCGCCACCCAGGGATCCCTAAACAGAATCTTTAAAAACAAATAACAAAAAAGTCTATCGGACAAAAACAAAGGCACCCCGCTACTCACCACAGCACTGTTTATGAGAAACTGTGAGGTCGGCAGAGAGGGCACTGGTTAAAGCGGCTGAGGAATGGGGGCGCCCGGGGGGCTCAGGGGGCTGGGCTTCCGACTCTGGATTTCAGCTCGGGCCACGATCCTGGGCTTGTGGGATGGAGCCCCGTGGTGGGCTCCGTGCGCAGTCGGCTTGGGGTTCTCGCTCTCTCCCTCGCCCTCTGCCCCTGCCTCCGCTCATGCGCGCTCTAAAGAAATAAACGGATAAAGAAAGTTTTTCAAACAGTAGCTGAAGGGATATGCCTGCGCGGACTGTTAGCCAGCCCCCCGTGGCCCACCCCGTATCCTGTCCCTTGGGGCGAAGGGACTTTAGAGGCCCCAACAGGTCGGGGAGGCCATCAAAATAAAGCTCCTCTGCAGGAGAGACGGCAGTGGGAGCAGCCGCAAGCCTGTGTCCTTCCTGGAGGGGGAGGCGGAGGGTCCCTGGAGGATGAAAGGTGAAGTGGGTGGAGCCCTGAGGCCCGGGGTCTGGTGTGCCCTCTATGTCCCCTGCACGATAGGTTCAATCGGATACACGGACTCTCAGTAAGATGACAGGCTTGCCAGAACCACCTCCCTATCCCACCCCCAGCCAAATAGCACTCATCTGTTAAATAAATGCTAAATAAATGTAATAATCTTTGGAAAAATTGAATTCTGAAGTCACAAAATACATATTGTGATACATTTAACAGAGAAGTACAAGTATGAAACAGATATCACAAGATGTAGTTGACTGCCAATGGCTGAACCTATTCAATTTTCATTTTCTTGTTTCCTAAATGGTCTCATCACGTTGTATGATCTGCCTATGTGAGTTCCTGAGCCTCCTTGCCTCCCTAGGGCATGGTGGCAACGCAGGACGGCGTGGCAGCTGAGCAGAAGCGCGCGCGGCCTTGGAGTTGGAGTCTGGTTGGCCGTGCGCGGCGCAGTGTCCAAGCGCTGCCTGCCTTCAGCTGCGGGGAGCAGCCAGGCGGGAGCTGCGGATGGGGCTCAGGAGCCGTCGGCCAAGGCCGCGGGCCCTGCACTGAGAGCCAGCGGGAAAGCGGGGGCGCAGCCGCAGCCAGGAGGCCCGGACCTTTGAGGGAGGCCTGGGCCCTTGCCAAGGCGCGGGGAGACCGTGTCCGGGGTGTGGGTCGGCTGTGTGCGCCCCCTTCAGGTGGCCTCGCACCCCCCCCCTCCCTGCCAGCCTCGCCTGCCTCACTGCAGCCCCTCAGCCAGGGCCCCGACAGCGCCCCCACCCCGTGCCTTGCCCCCTGCGGCTGCTCCTGCACTGCCCCGGCACCCTCGGCTCCTGCGCGTCCCCGGGAGAGGACACCGGCCATGGCTCGCGGCCGGGACCGCCGGCTCAGCTCCCCTGAAGGGCCTACCGCACCCAGCGCTCGCACGCCTAGCACGACGCTGCGGCAATGTGCGCTTCCAAACACTGGGGTCCCCCTGCAATTTCCGGCTGGAGGGACTGTAGGTGGCCCCCCCGCCTTCCTTGTTACCCCATCTTCCTCACAGAGGAAGACAGAGCGCCCAAGCAGGGGCGGAAGCGGACCCCCTGCTGAGCAGCAAATCCTAGGTGGGGCTTCATGCCAAGGCCACGCCCTGAGCCAAAGGCACAGGCTCAACCGACTGAGCCTCGCAGGCGCCCCTGTACTAACCCGTGTTAAGGAAGCGTCATTCATGCCAAGACTCACGCAAGAGCTGCACTGAGTCCTTACTCTAATCTGGCAAAAAGTCGAAGAGAACGTAAACGTTCAGTCAAGATAGTGCATGTTTCATGCACCCATTCAAGGTTTTCAAAGAGTTTTTACCGAGAAGTTTACGTTGGACGGAGACTCTCCGGGACCCGCACACAGTACACGCCGCGTATTCCTGTGGGCGTGGGTGTAGCGCCGTGGGTAAAACCAAGGGTGTAAAACCAAGGGCGCGTCCCAACAGGTCCGCAGCCGCCGATACTCAAGGACACAGCCCACAGGCTGCCGTTTCCCGAAACGGTCTTTTTAAAAGAGATTTACTTATTTGCGAGGGTCCGCGCCTGAGCAGAGAAGCTGAGACGCGGAGCTCCCGCGAAGGGGCACTGGACCCCGGGCCCAGGCAGCCGCTTCACCCATGGAGCCAGGCCCGCCCCGCCCCAGCTGCATCCCGTCACCTTCGGCTCCGGGGTGTCGGCCTCCCAGGGGCTCCTCCGCACCCTGAGGTCAAAGGGAGGTGTACCCGGAGGCGGGGCCGCGGCCCAAGGGACAGTGCGCGGATCTTAGCAAACATCACATTTATTTTCTGCAGTCACAAACACTGGGGCGCCCAACGAAACAAAGGGACCCCGGGGGCCACGAGGGCAGGACGAACAGAAGGCGGGGGGGGGGGTGCTGCTCTGGTAATGGCTGCCCCAGGAAAGGGCAGCAGGTGAGGCCCCTGCCCCGCGCTGGCTCAGCGGGTGGCGGGAGGCCCGAAGCGCTGCATGGTCCGCATCACCAGGGAAAGCTGGTCCAGAAAACTGATGATGGAGATTCGGAGGAGACGGGGGTTCGTAGCTCTCCAGCGGCTGGAAGCGCAGCAGACACGGCCTGTGGGACCTGGAGGCGCCGCCCCCCGCGCCCGGACACCCACTGGGCGCCCCCGGCCCAGGCCCGCACCGCAGCCCGTCCCCGGAAGAAGGCCGCACCCAGGCGGGGTGTCCCCGAGTCCAGCCGCGCGCCCGTCCTGGGGACCCGCCCCCCCCCCCCCCGCCCCTTCCCGCACTTACACCGCCAGGACGCTGCCTCTCACGGTGAGCTGCTTCTCGACGGCCCCTCCGTGGGGCTCGGCGTCGGGGGCCAGGGACCCGCAGGCGATCTCTGCCTCGGTGGCCGATGGGAAAGGCACGCAGAAGGCACTGGGGGCATTAGTCAAGGGACCTCCGGCAAGACCTGGCGCCCCGGGCCCTGCTCGGCCGCGACCCCTGTCCCGGGCCACCCCGCCCCCTCCTGCCCCGCCCCCCGCCACGCGATCGCCCCTCTCCCCTCCCCCCCGCAGCCTCCTCGTGGGCGTCCCACTCCCAACTCGGCCCCCCACGCGGCGCCCCTGCGCCCCCACGTGCTGTGCTGGCTCTCTCCGCGGCAGCCCCGGCCCGGCCCCCAGCCGCCCCCACGGCCGCCCCTCAGGCACCGCCGCTCCCCCAGCCGCCCCCCCCCGGCACCGCCGCCCCCCCAGCCGCCCCCCCCCCCCCGGCACCGCCGCTCCCCCAGCCGCCCCTCAGGCACCGCCGCTCCCCAGCCGCCCCCCCCCGCACCGCCGCCCCCCCGCCGCCCCTCCCGTCCGCCGCCCCCCAGCCGCCCCCCCGGCACCGCCGCCCCCCCACGGCCGCCCCTCAGGCACCGCCGCTCCCCCACGGCCGCCCCTCAGGCACCGCCGCCCCCCCGCCGCCCCTCAGGCACCGCCGCCCCCCCCCGCCGCCCCCCCCCGCACCGCCGCCCCCCCGCCGCCCCTCCCGTCCGCCGCCCCCCCACGGCCGCCCCTCAGGCACCGCCGCCCCCCCGCCGCCCCTCAGGCACCGCCGCCCCCCCCGCCGCCCCTCAGGCACCGCCGCCCCCCCCGCCGCCCCTCAGGCACCGCCACCCCCCCAGCCGCCCCTCCGTCCGCCGCCCCCCCCAACCGCCCCTCAGGCACCTCCGCCCCCCGTTCCCCGCTCAGGCTCCGCCGCCCCCCGCCGCCCCCCGCCGCCCCCCGGCCGGCTCGCGCAGGATACAACACGTAGGTGCGGCCGCCCGACCTTCCAGCCGTGGCGGCGGCGTCTCCGCCGGGCCTAGGGGCGTGCCGGGGCCGCGTGACAGGCGGGGCTCTGCCGAGGGCAGCAGCAGTCGCCTCGCCCGCCCCGCCGGGAGAGCCGGGGCCGTCCGCGCCATCGTCCGCGCCTTCCGCGCCGCCTCCCGCGCCTGCGTCTGCCGCCTGCATGGCCGCCGCGCCCCGCCTCTGACTCCGCCCCGAGCGAGCGCCGCCCGCCCGCCCTCGACGCTGCCGGCGACCGACTGAGGCGGCTCCGGAGCCCCGCCGCCGGCCCCGCCCCCAGCCCCGCCCCCGGCCCCGCCCCGCGCCTGCGCACACCGGCCCGGGGGGCTGCGGACGCGTGGCAGTTTCCCGCCAAACGGAGGCAGCGGGGGCCGCGGGGTCGCCGCGCTCCCTCGCGCAGCCCCGCCGCTTGCCGCTCGCCGCAGCCCCGGGGCGCCTGCCCTCCCCGCGGGGCTCGGGGCCCGTTGCCCCCCCGTCCCTTCCTGGGGTGCAGTGTCCCTAGACAAACGCTGTGCAGGGGGCTGGCAGGTGCCCCCCCGAGCGGTCGGAGGCCTTCTGGGCCCCCCCCCGGAGGCCCACGGTGACCTGCCAGCACGTTCAGGGCTCTGGGGTTTGTACGGACGCTCTACCCCCACCGGGGCCCGAACCTCAGCGCCCCCAGGCCAAGGGTCGCAAGCGACCGCCCCCCCCCCACCTGCCAGCCGCCTGCGCGCCCCTGCCCGGCAAAACGGGTGTGTAAGGGGACACGAAACGGCCCTGGCGGAGTGTCGCGTCCGTTTTCTGTGTTCCCCCTTGGGGAATCCGGACGGGGGACACGCAGCGGACCTGTGTCATCCTGCTGGATGGCCCCCTCCACACAGCCTGGACGGCGACCGCTTCCACCCCTCTCCATTGCAAGCCCCAAGTGGAAGCCACGATCTTTCCCTCAGTTCCTTCAACAGCTTCCTGACTGCTTTTCTACTATTTTTGCTCCTCTACAGCCTATTTTCTACACAACAGAATTGCCTCTTAATTTTTTTAAAAGATTTTATTTATTTATTCATAGAGACACAGAGAGAGAGAAGGGCAGAGACACAGGCAGAGGGAGAAGCAGGCCCCACGCAGGGAGCCCGACGTGGGATTCGATCCCAGGTCTCCAGGATTGCGCCCTGGGCCAAAGGCAGGTGCTAAACCGCTGCGCCACCCACGGATCCCCTTGAGAGATATTTATAGAGAGAACACAATCAGAGGGAAGGAGCAGACTGAGAAGGAGAAGCCTACTCCCTGCTGAGCAGGGAGCCTGATTTGGGGCTCAATCTGGGACCCTGAGATCATGACCTGAGGCCTAAGACAGATGATTAATTGAGCCACTGAGGTGCCCCTGGGATATTGTGTTTAAAATTATTTATTTATTTATTTATTTATTTATTTATTTATTTATTTATGAGCGCGCGCGCGCGAGAGAGAG